GGCCTACAGATATATGAAAAAATGCTCACCATCCTTAATCATTAGAGAAATGCAAATCAAAACTACTGTGAGATATCATCTAACACCAGTGAGATTAGCCTATATCACAAAATCCCAAAATCAAAGATGCTGGCAGGGTTGTAGAGAAAAGGGAACACTTCTACACTGCTGGTGGGAATACAAACTAATATGTCCCTTTTGGAAAGTCATCTGGAGAACACTTAGAGAACTAAAAATTGATCTGCCATTTGATCCTATAATTCCTCTGCTAGGTATATATTGAGAAGACCAAAAATCACGCTACAATACAGACATTTGTACCAGAATGTTCATTGCAGTCTAATTCACAATTGCTAGGTCATGGAAGAAGCCCAAGTGGCCATCAACCCATGAATGGATCAATAAACTGTGGTATATGTACACCATGGAATACTATGCAGCCATAAAGAAAGATGGAGACTTTACCTCCTTCATGTTTATATGAATGGAGCTGTAAAATATTCTTCTTAGCAAAGTATTTCAAGAATGGAAGAAAAAGTATCCAATGTACTCAACCCTATTATGAAACTGTTAGCCATCATAGGAAAGCTATAACCCAATTTTTGTCCAAGAATACAGAGAAAGGGGAGAGAGAAGGGAGGGGAGGCGGGGAGGATGGGTGAAGGGAGGGGGATTTCAGGAATCACACCTGTGATTTTTCTTATAAGGGTACATGTGAATCTTTCTAAATGTGAATTATAAATGTCTTAACACAACTATGAGAATGACATAAAGGCTATGTTGGCCAACTAGATGAAAGTATTTCAAATTGTATATGAAAACAACACACTGTACCCCATGATAGTATTAATGTGCACAAACATGATTTAACAATAAAAATTAAAAAAAATAATAATACCAGCTGACACAATCATTAAGAAGTCCTTGTAAAGTAACAGTTGTAAAACTTTAAAATCATGTTTTTTCCTAAGGTCCTTTGTGTTCTATTTCCAATATGGTACATCTGTATTTTTTTTTTAAAATCACATACAAATGATTAGCTAAAGTATTTAATTTTGTTTCATTTGTTTTATTTACTTTTGTAATTACTAACATACAGAAAAGGCTTGAAGAGATGAAATTATCTTAAAAGTTATGCAAAACAACAGTACCTCACAATGTTGGCGAGAAGCTTGAATTTCACATTCATACTTGTTCTTTACAGATTCTAAGCAGAGCTCTCTATAGATTCCTGAAACCAAACACAATTACTCTGATTATGTTAGCAGTAAGTTTCATTTATCACCTTCCTACAGGAAATCTGTTCTCACTGTATTTTATAAGATGAATCAAGGAGTAATTGACAAGTGAGTCTAACTTTATCTTTAAAAACTAAAAAGACTCATTTAAAAATATATATATATATCCAGGCTCGGCGCCTGTGGCTCAAGCGGCTAAGGCGCTAGCCACATACACCTGAGCTGGCAGGTCCAGCCAGGGTCCGCCAAACAATGACTGCTGCAACCAAAAAAAATAGCCAAGCATTGGCAGGTGCCTATAGTCCCAGCTACTTGGGAGGCAGAGGCAGGAGAACTGCTTGAGCCCAGGAGTTTGAGATTGCTGTGAGCTGTGATGCCACAGCAGTCTACGCCAGGGGACAGCTTGAGGCTCTGTCTCAAAAAAAAAAATATATATATATACACACACATATATAAATATACATATATATATATTTCCAAAAAGACTAGAAACTAAAAGTTTAAGAGCTAGGAACTATACTGCTAATTTTTGTTATTACTCTATTCTTCCTAAATGTTTGATAGAGAATGATCAAAATGCAAATAAAACTCTTTTCCTATGAAAAATGATCCTAGGTTTCTCGAAATAGAAATGAAGAGACAATAAACTCTGGTTGCATCAATCACATATACTCAAAGTAACAACTGGATACTATACCCCATCAAAACCACCACTTTTAAGCTATTATTTATTTTCAGTCCAAAGCTTCCAAGAGGATTAAATATACAAATTTATACAACATAATCAATGATGTCTAGAGTATCCCTGACAGAGTTTTACCTGGTGGACAGATGCCTAAGACAGTTTAACTCAGAGGTAACAAGACAACAGTATAAAATAAACAACACGGCCATGCAAATATACCACCACAAAATGGCAAGCAAAGAGTTCTAGATGTATATAGTAAGGCAAAGGACAGGTATCTGGAAGTATGCCATTAGCAACACATTCACACACACCACTCTTTGCAAAATCAAAAAATAAGAGGCCACAGAATAGTAAAGAATTTACTCAAATAATATTTCCTGATCATCTATTCAACCTAAAGGAACATCAAAGAAAATCAAGAACATTTTTACTTTTAAGGGTATGCTAAGTCAATGTGAAAGACAGCAAGCATCATGTTATCTACATACCTACTATTAAGCATTCAAGAATAAAATTTAGTTTAAAGTGGATTTAGTACAAAAAGAACTTACTACCAAAAATGCCTTTGGTATTATTTAACCAGATACATGAGGAACAATTAGTGTCTCATAAAAGAAAAACAATCGGCATCCCAACTACTTAGTCTAGTTTTTAGTTTTACTACAAAAAATCACATATATCCCTTAAATACGAGTGCTAGGACATGATATACAGGCCAGATCCCAGTTACAAACAGAAGACTAAAGTTTAGTCATACAAATATAATGCATCTTCATTTATTCGTACCTATAAATGAATAATCAAACTAATCAAAATAAGAAAGAATCATTAAATTGTCTGCTTAAAGGCTAATTCCCTATTTTATAATATACTGCTCAAACATTTGTAAAATGTTTTTCTAAATTTAAAAAAAAAAAACCTTATTACTCTTCAGGTGAAAAAAACCAAGAGTATTTAAATTAATCCTTAATTTATGTCAGGGAATTAAACTGTGATAGTAAGGATGCTATCTCTCAATGAAAATATGGTTTATAATTGTTTTACCACATATGGAAGTATTTTCTTACCAACATGGTAAGCAACTTGAGGGCTTTTTATTTCTTAATCCCCCACAGCAGCAGAGAAAAACAAGCATTTAATAATTAACTGTAGGCTGACCATCTTGTCAATGTAAACATATTTGTAATTCCATCAACAACAGACACTTGACAAATGCTTTTTAAAGCTACTGAAGAGTTTACATACTATATATGGAAAAGATGTTTCACTTTCCTACCTGCTACCTTTGTACGAATTTGCATATTTTCCTGCAAAGTTGCCAGTGGTTCCAAATATTCTGGTGCTTTTCCAGCTATCACTTCTTGTAGTTTTGCATCCACTTGACTTAATCGTTCTTTATAAAGTCTTAATAAAGCAAAAATTAAGATGTTAATTTAAAATCCCAATCAAGGTTAACGATTGGCCATTTTTCTATATTATGTCTTCCTAATGTTATTTTCATTCTAATAACATATCAAATGTATTTTTGCCTTGATTTCAAGTGGAGAACTCAGTTACATTATTTGACTTTATGCATATAATCATAAAATAGATATCTATCAAATATTTAACAGTATCACTCTTTAACGGTTGATCACAATACAAAAATACAACTGAAATAACTATTTTTTGGTACTCGCGAGCTTTGTTTTTGTCTTAACTATAGAACAATTCGAAGAGAAAAAGTCATTTAAACACTCAGTTGAAGAAACAAAGAAGTATTTTGAATAGACAGACATTACTGGTTTCAAAATAAATAGTTCCCTGGCTTCTCTCTACCTTTCCTGAAAAAAAGTATTACAGTGTTCAGCATACTCAACTTTTTTTTCTTTTTTTTTTGAGAGAGAGTCTCAAGCTGTCGCCCTGGGTAGAGTGCCGTGGGTTCACAGCCCACAAAAACCTCAAACTCTTGGGTTTAAGCAATTCTCTTGCCTCCATTTCCTAAGTAGCTGGGACTACAGGCACCCACCACAACGCCCAGCTATATTTCGGTTGCAGCTGTCATTGTTGTTTAGCTAGCCCAGGCTGGATTCAAACCCACCAGCCTCGGCGCATGTGGCCAGCACTGTAACCACTGTGCTACGGGACCGAGCCAGGCTACTCAATTTTTAAAAAGAACCAAGAGAAGTACAGGGATTGACCTCACACAACAAGGTCAGTTCAACTTCAAATGAGTAAGTTATAACAAAATAAATTGCTCAACAGAGGAGGAAATGAAAAATGGGGCAGGGGGCTCCTGCTGCCCCTATTTGTAAGTCCACTGACAAATACTTAATCTGTTAGCTGTCACACCAATACCTTTAGTTTCATTATCAGAGTCAAAACAATTCATAGTTTTATTTTGGCAATATTCTTGTAGGACAGAACTAATTATTTATAATAGGAAAATCTTTATACAGGCTGAATATCCCTAACCCGAAATGCGTGGGACCAGAAGTACTTTGAATGTCACATTTTTTAAGATTTTGGAACATTTACATTATACTTACCAGTTGACCATCCCTAATATGAAAATCTGAAATGTTTTCATGGCCATTTCCTTTGAGCATCATGTTGGTGCCCAAAATGTTTCAGATTTTGGAGCTTAAGACTTCAGATTTTGGGGTTCGGCTCAGTGTCTGGAACCTATAATCCTAGCACTCTTGGAGGATGAGGTGGAAGGATTGCTTTTGAGCTCAAGAGTTAGAGACCAGCCTGAGCAAGAATGAGACCCCATCTCTACTAAAAATAGAAAAATTAGTCCTGCGCAATGGCTCACACATATAATTTTAGCACTCTTCAGCCCAGGCAGAAGGATCACTTGAGTTCAAGGGATAGAGACCAGCCGAGGCAAAAAGAAAGGCCCATCTCTAATAAAAATAGAAAAACTAGCCAGTGTTGTGGGGGAGCCTATGGTCCCAGCTACTCGGGAGGCTAAGGCAAGAGGATCCCTTGAGCCCAAGGATTTGTTTGAGGTTGCTGTGAGCTATGACACCACAGCACTCTACCCAGGATGACAGAGTGAGATTCTGTCTCAAAAAAATGAATAAAAATAGAAAGATTAGCCAGAGAGGTCATGGTGAGTGCCTGTAGTCCCAGCTACTTGGGAAGCTGAGGCAGGAGGATCACCTGAGCCCTAGTGTTTGAGGTTGCTGTGAGCTAGACTGATGCCAAAGCATTCTAGCCTGAGCAACAGACTTCCCTCCCCCTCCACAAAAAAAAAAAAAATTAAAATTCAGATTTTTGGATCTGGAGTGCTGAACCTGTATTGCCATCCTTTATGAAAAGCACTTCTAATCCCAATTTTATGGCATGTTAAGGATATCCTAAAAAGTTCAAAGCAGATTAACAATTTAAGATCATTTTATAAATTCTTTTTTCCCATCCATTACTTTTAACATAACCAAAGAAAATGTTAGAATATGTTTAAAGGATGGCATGTTGTAGCTCGGTGCCTATAGCTCAGTGGCTAAGGTGCCAGCCACATAAACCAGAACTGAGCCCAAGTCCAAGAGCTGGCAGTTGCTGTGAGCTGTTACGCCACGATACTCTACCCAGGGCAACAAAGTAAGACTCTGTCTCTAAAAAAAAAAAAATAGCGGGGCATTGTGGCAGGTACCTGTAGTCCCAACTACTTGAGAGGCTGAACAAGAGAATCACTTAAGCCCAAGATTTTGAAGTTGCTGTAAGCTGTGACATCACAACACTCTACCTAGGGTGACATAGTGAGACTCTGTCTCAAAAAGAAAAAAAAAAAAGGATGGTATGTTGTGACTTCCAAAAGAAACCACTGATTATGTTTGTAGGTGTTAGTATAACTAGCAGTTGTCTTTTGAAAACATGGTACCTAGCTGGGCTTTGTGGCAGGCCCCTGTAGTCCAGAGGCTGAGGCATGAGATTGCTCAAAAAAAAAGAAAAAGAAAAGGAAGAAATCCTATGGTACCTAGCTTTCATAAAATTTTGTTCTTCCCTCTTGAAAATATAAGCCAGTGCAATCAATATTAATTGCCTATAATTGACCATTATAATTAGCATAAAAGATTTATATGATGATTCTTAAGGAGCAAAGCAAGTTTGAGTACTAATGCAATAGTCTTTTTATTCTAACAAAAAGGGATTATATGAGTTAACTGCCAAAATAATACATTACTGTATCTGAATTAAGTTTTTCTAAAACTGAAGATATGATAAATAAATGTGTAAAGGCAGAAAAGTACAACATGATATTTGTATTTTTTAAATTATAACCCAACTTTAGGAAAAATGCTAAAAATCTGACATAAACGATACCTACACCTGAAAAATAACAAATACATATGAAATACTGATAAGGTATCCTGAGTTTGTGAATCAGCATCTTATATCAAGAGGTATGTGAATTAATAATATTCAAATTAACTAACCTTTGAAAAGAAGGGATTCTTCAAAATCAGTATAATTTCTGAAGTCTTGGGATTCAGTATAGATTCATCAAAAGTAAGACTGTACATCTCTCAGACACAATTACAATACTATTTACAGAATAGATGCTCACTTAAGTGTTATTGGATGTTGAATATTAAAATGAATGGAAACTTAGGGCCGGGCATAGTGGCTCATGCCTGTAATCCCAGCACTCTTGGAGGCCAAGGTGGGTGGACTGCCTGAGCAAGATCAAGACCCCATCTCTAAAAATAGCCCATCATTGTAGCAGGCGCCTGTAGTCCCAGCTACTCGGGAGGCTGAGACAAAAGAATTGCTTGAGCTCAAAAGTCTGAGGTTGCTGTGAGCTATGATGCTACAGCACTCTACAGACGGCAACAAAATGAGACTATGTCTAAAAAAATAAAATAAAATAAAATGAATGGAAACTTAGATGGTATAAATTTTCTCTACCTTTTGAAGAAGGTGAAAGAACTCACCTTCTACCACTATAGATACTGCAAATGGTGGGTTTTCTGCCTTATGAAAGGAATGCTATTGTGCCCTGTGATGCCAAAACAGAAGAAGCAGGATAATCACATTATTGTTATTATTATTTCCTACCTCTTCTAAAGAGGATTCGAGACAGCTTACAGAGATACACTATACAGCAGGATAAAAATAACAAGGCAACTGGGGCAAGAGGAAAAAATGATTATAAATCTGGCACAAAGATTAATTTTTTTCTGAAACATATTTCTGGGCTCGGCACCTGTGGCTCAAGTGGCTAAGGC